GAGAGAGAGAGAGATCACAAGTAGGCAGACAGGCAGGCAGAGGGAGAGGGAAAAGCAGGCTCGCTGCTTAGCACAGAGCCTGATGCGGAGCTCCATCCCAGGACGCTGGGTCCTGACCTGAGCCGAAGGCAGGCACCCAACTGACTGAGCTACCCAGGTGCCCCTAGTGGAGTAATTTTAGATACTGTGTTTATCCTTTGTGGGGTTTGCTGACTTTCTTGAAATCTATAAATTTGTATCTTTCATCAAATCTGGTAAAATTTGGGCCATTATCCTTAAAGCATTTTTTCTACCTCAATCTCTATTTCTCCTCTTATTGGGACTCCAATTACATGTTTGTTTTATTTTTGGATATTATACCAAATATCACTGATGCCCTGTTCAATTTTTCCTGCAGATATTTTTTCTGTTCTTCAGATGGGAAAGCTTCTGTAGATCTGTCTTCAAATTCATTGACTCTTTTGGCATCTCTACTCTGCTATTATGTCCATCCATTGAATTTTTTATTTCAGATGTGTTTGTTAGTTCTAAAATTTGTTTGGTTTTTCTCATAGTTAATATGTTTCTGCTGCTCTTTCCTCTTTTTTTCATTACATGCATATTTTCTGTTAGGTCTTTAAGTATAGTTCTAATAGCTGCATTAAATCCTTGTCTGATAATTCCAACATCAGAGTCATCTTGGAATGGTCTTCATTTATGGTCTGTTCTCTTGCACGTGGGCCACATTTTCCTGTTTCTTGATACGTAGAATAATTTTAGATTGTATCTTGTACAGTAGGATTGATACATTATAGATACTCTAAACTCTGTATGCTTCTTCAAAGGGTATTGAGGGGGTGCCTGGGTGGCTCAGTCGTTAAGCGTCTGCCTTCAGCTCAGGTCATGATCCCAGTGTCCTGGGATCGAGCCCCGCATCGGGCTCCCTGCTTAGCGGGAAGCCTGCTTCTCTCCCTCCCTTTCCCACTCCCCTTGCTGTGTTCCCTCTCTTGCTGTGTCTCTCTCTGTCAAAAAAATAAATAAAATCTTTAAAAAAAAAAAAAGGGTATTGAGGTTTTGTTTTAGCAATTAACTTGGCTTGCTCAAATTTCAAAAGCTCTTCTTAAACAGTGGGTAGCAGCTGAATCTTGTTCAGTTCTTTTAGCCTTAACTGGACTGCTTTGGATCTGCCATGCTCACATGTCATTATGGAATCCAACAGAGATGTTGACAGAGTTTATACACAGAATTTTGGAGCTCCGCCTCCGTGACTCTTTTTTTTTTTTTTTTAAAGATTTTATTTATTTATTTGACAGAGAAAGACACAGCGAGAGAGGGAACACAAGCAGGGGGAGTGGGAGAGGGAGAAGCAGACTCCCTGCCGAGCAGGGAGCCCGATGCGGGACTCGATCCAGGGACTCCAGGATCATGACCTGAGCCGAAGGCAGTCGCTCAACCAACTGAGCCACCCAGGCGCCCCTCCCTGACTCTTTATTTTCAGGAATATCCTCTTACTTTCCAGCTTCTGTTGGATGTGCCTTCCCCATTATGTATGTACTTTTGGTCACTTGCTAGTGCTCCAGAGTAGTTGGGTTTTATATATGTCCAGAATTTACAGTTGTTTTCTCAGGAGGATTGTTCCCTTGGCAGTTATTTGGCTATTATCTAAAGCAGAGCCTGGGTTTGTGATATAATTTGAATGTAAAGCCAATATGATTGGCTGATTAATTGGACGTAGGGGGAGGTAGAAGCAGGGGTGTGAGCAAAAGAGCAGGAATCAAGGATGATTATTCATTTTTTGGCTTAAGCAATTGGGAGGATGGTTTTGCTCATTTTCATGATAAAGAAGGCTAGGGGAGGGGCATGCTTGGCGGGGGGTAGAGAGGATATGAAAATGGCAAAAAGGTAGTTAGATATTTAGACTCTGGAGCTCAGGGGAAGAAGTGAGTACTAGAGGTCCCGACTTAGATATCTGAATATAACTGGTATTTGAAACTGTGGGACTGAGTAGGTTTACCTGAGGGGAATATAACAGGTGAAAAAGGGGTACCCTGGCACCATGTTCTGAGGCACCTCAGTATTTAGAAGTCCAACAGAGGAGGAAGAAGCCAAAGGAGACTGGAAGAGGAACCAGTGTGGCAGACTGCTGGAGAGTATAGATCACGAAGTCAGAGAAGAAGGTGGGAGGGACAGCTGAGTTGAATGCTTGCTGGGAATCAGTGAAGCTACAGACAGGAGCGGGACCCTTGATTGGGCAAGCAGAGGCCACTGGTGGCTTTACAAGGCCATCTCCCTACAATGGTGGTGAGAAAGTGGAGATATGACAGCCGTGGATCAAAAGTGCTTGCTCTTAGGGTTCCACTTATTCAGGCTACATGTTCAGCTGTGAGCTCTGTAACCACCCAAGCAGAAAGGCACTGTGTCGCCAGTGAATGTGCATCGTCGATGACCATGTTTCTTTCCTGCTCAAGGGGAGACTTTTCACCTTGAACTCTGGCTTTTGCCTGCTCAGGTGACCTGGTCAACCTAACTGCCTAAATTAGAGGTAGCATTTTCCATGCACAGGCTACAATAAGATCATCCTGTCTAGAGCTGATTGATAGGTGACTGCATGTTCTTTAATTAGTGGTCTTCATGATAATAGGAAGTAAATTTTGAATTATAGCCACAGACACTTAGACACTTTAGGCTCTTCCTTTGCCTACTGAGTTACCTTTGCTGTTGTTCAGGTTGGAGTTTAGGAGGCACAAGTCTCTTAGTAAAGCTCGTATTGTGGTTCAGAGTATCATTTGCCCAAGAAACTAGAATGTTCCATGGGGTTGGATTATTACAGCTTGTGGAAAACTTCCGTATTATCAGCATTTGTTTAGACAGGTGTCAACTTGCTTTCTAGGCCCCCTGGAACACAGACTTATGTTGCATTACATTTGTTTTCAAGGATAATAATTCCATGAAGGCTTATCATTTCTTGGGTTTGTTTACTTGTTTAGGCAGAAATGTTTCCTTTGGTTCACTAACAGTCTACCTGTTTTATCCCAGAATTCTGCATTGACCTTTGGACCTACCTAAAATTAAAGCAACAAAAGAAATCAACTAAGACAGATCCTCTGTTTATTTTCTGGCTCAACTTCGGATTTTGCTCTCTGGCTTCTGTTGCTTCCCAGCTACCATATTTGCGTCTGGCATAGTGTTTGAACTCCTTAGACTTGTTGTCCTGAATTAACTCAGGGGTGAAGCCTTGGGTCCTTTGGTGATGCCAACACTGCTGGATTGCTGCTCCTTAGAACAGCCTTTCCTGGTTGGATGGGCTGTAACCCACCGCAGTCCACCTGCCTTCATGGCACACTTTGTTGTCTGTTCCAACAAGACTCCGTTCTAAGCCCTGGCAGTTACAGACTTGTGAATCTCACTGTAATGCTGATGATAATTCAGGACAATAATATGGCCTCAGTAATTTCTCCTTGTGTGAACCAGCTGGCCCTCATCTGGGACCTCAGTATTTCACACACTCCACTCCCTGCCGACTGTGCCCCTTCTTTATCAGAAATTCTTATAAGATTTACTGGTTTTGATTTCAAAACTATCGAACCCAGCCTTACTATAAAAAGGTAACTTTCATTTCTATTTTATCATCCCAGAATAAAGAATACTCAGATATTATGAAAGTCAGTGTCACCATTTGTCTATCTGTTGAAAACGCTTTGTTCCCAAAAGTAAGTCATACATAGTAATTAGTCATCATATTGAAGATCTTTGCTGCAGTCTTCCTGCTAACCTCGTATTTCATTTGTGTCCTCATTCTCTTGTCTTTTGGATTACAAGTATTTCTGTAAATAAATAAAAGCAATTTCTCTGATCTAGGAGCTTCTGTTATCAGATTAGAAGGTTGGGGCCAGTTCTATATACAGCAAGTATTTCTAAAGCACATTTTTATTATTTGACCTATCTTAACACCGTTCCAGCTGGTTTCCCTAAGTTAGCAAAATACACTGTTTGAAGTAACCTGTTTATTAATACTTTATTGTGCAGTGAGGCTCCAACCTGAAAAACCAGTGCTTTCATCTCTGGGTGGATGCCTTTCTAAAATATTCAACTGATTTTTAAAAAATCTCTTTGCAGGAATCTTGACTATATATATATTTTTTCCTCTTTTTTTTTTTTTTAAGATTTTTTATTTATTTGAGGGAGAGAGAGAGTGAGATAGGGAGAGAGCATGAGCAGGGGGAAGAGTAGAGAGAAAAACAGACTCCCCGCTGAGTGGGGAGCCCAATGTGGGACTCGATCCCAAGACCCTGGGATCATGACCCGAACCGAAG